TTAAGGTCCTTTTCAACCCAGGCATTCTACGATTCTGTGATCTCTTTCTCCCTCCGATCTCTCTGATCTCTTTTCCGGGATTGCGTTTTCAGGATTGTTAGCCTGGAATGGGCTGGGCCTTGGTCATCAGGTAGTGAGCTGTTGCCCTGTGTATCAATCATTTGTATATTTGTATATTATTATTACTATTATTATTATCATTATTACAATTATTATTTTCAATTTTATTGTAGTTTAGTTATTAAATTGTTCTTATCTCAACCTACGAGTTTCATTTCTCTTTACTCCTTTAATTCTCTTCCCCCAACTCCGGGGAGGGGGGAAGGAGAGAAGGGTGAGTGAGTGGCTGCATGCTATTTGCTAGGTTTTAAAAGCATTTTTGGAAGCTCTTGTACTTTGATACACTAACTTTTTTGTGTCCTTTATTATTAGAAAATGTTGCCCTTTTGCGCCAATACCTAAGCATATTAAGTTTATTCTTAACTCAACTCTACTGCTCTGTAGAGATGACATACTGAAAATGCATGCCTCGAAGGTACTGACTGCCAGCCAATGCACGTCTCTAATAGAACACCAATTTACATATAGTGGGATTAATACTGGTTTTGGAATAAAAGTAGTGGACTCTAAAATCTGGTAAGCATACAAATTAATCTAAAATCTAGTTTAGCAAGACATGTATGAGAGTTAAGTTATTGTTCTAATGGAAAGTATGTTGTAGCTGAAAGTACCATTTAAATGCATGTAAATCAATACTATTTTTAAATCAAACTCAGTGTTTTTGTGGCACTAGAAAGTAATGTTGCTGGTCAGTTCAATAGCTAAAACCTAGCTTAAACATTCAGATGCTGTTTTTGACATAAGCTGGAGATCCACTTATGTGTAACAATGACCTTAAACCTCATGCAGTAGTTCAAGCTTATCCAGATTGAAGTTTACCAGAACTGCTCATGGCATCTAATTTTTCACTTTGGTTTTATGCAGCCGGAGTTCAAAAATATCACATATTGGGAGGGGGAGGGAATTATTGCACTGAAAATGGAATATACGTTCCTGCAGCTCAGTGTCATTAACATGAATGTTGATATAACTAGGAGTTATATGTCCAAAAATCAGTAAAATACAATTTGACCTACAATTAAACCCTTCTCGCTTTAAACTTGAAACTGGTTTTTTGGTCTTCACTGTTGCCATCCTTGACATGCTGGAGAGGCTCAGCAGCATGTCCGAGGAACTTAGTGATCTCTCTTGGTGTTGGTGTTGTTGACTTGCTAGACATATTTAATTTCTTTGTGAAGACATTTATTATTTTTTTTTAATTGACTGGATTTATTTATCGACACTGATTTGACAAATCTCGCTCTCCCTTCTTTTTTTTTGCCCCTCTCACTTCACTTCTGTGTTTGTATGCTTAAAAGCAAACTTGCTGCTGATATTATTTTGAAAACACTTGATCTTATGAGCAAACTGAAGCAGGATGTACCTGGTATGGAAGTCAGTTTCTACAAAATTTTACAGGTATGATTTTAAAATGTCTTATGAAGCATTTCTGTGAATTGTCATTGCACTATAGTAGTTTTAGTTCTGAATGTTTTGCATATAAGTTGTAAAGCTTATAGGAAAGTATAGTCCCCTAGGCACAATTCTTAAAGGTTAATTGCTAATTCTTCTAAAATAAGAGCAGTTTGCTTTTACCCCAGTCATTTATTTCAGTAATGCACATGAAATCACACTTCAGCTGCCTGGATAATAACTTCAGAATTATCCTTTTAAGACTGCATTAGGACTGCAGTTTAAAGGTAGCAAGCTAGAAAAAAGTTATCACAACCATATAATTATTTGTGGGGTTGGTTATTATTAAATATATACATCTAATTTGTGACTTTGTGTAGTCAAAACAGTTTCTGGTAACTATTGGTCAGATGGTACCTTAACAATTTACTTTAGTGGAAAAGTAATCTAGATAGTCAAACATTTCTTGCTGTTTTGGAGGGTTTTCTTTTAAAAATGGGAATTGTGTGATTTAGTGGGTAGCAATAAGAGTTTCGCAATCCTCAGGAAATCCTTATAAACCTTAAGCTTGTGACCCCTGATGATGGAAATCAAGGGCTTTAAAAATGAAAGGAATTAAATAGTCTCTTTACCTGTTGCATTGGATTTAATGGGAAAACACGTTTCTAAATACTCCGAAGTGTAAACTGTTTTTAAAATCACTTCTCTTCCATTGACTTCAGGCTCAGGGACTTGGAAGGGCAAACTTTAAGAAGGTAGCTTAAGTTTTTAATAAAACATTTCTGTGCTCGTAGGCCTTGATATTGTGACGTATGGGTGATTTTGTTGTTGTTGACTGTTATATCATGTTTTGACCAAAGTAGTTTCTTTTTTAGGATCAACGCTTGATTGTGCCTTTGACATTTGCTTTAACATCAGACCATAGAGAGCAAGTCCAAGTGGGACTTGGAATACTGTTTGAGGCTGCACCCTTACCAGATTTTCCTGCCATAGTGTAAGTTTATTTTTGTGGTAGTCTGGTAGGCTTTGACATTTTTATAGGCTTAATGATTCATGTTTCTTGGCATATTACTTTGAGTTCATCAGAGATGGAAACTTTAGAAGAATTGTCTTGTTTCTTCTTTATCTACAGTCTCTTGACAGTAGTGATCTTGGAGGCTAGAGGAAGTGGTTCAAATGCTGATAGTATTCAGTTAACATCAGATCCTAGAGAGCATTCTAGTGACTGACTTCTGTCCCTCAGGGTTCACTTGTCTGAAGGTTGTTCTTGAAACTTTCTGCTTGGAGTGCATTTAATATTCTGACTGTCAGATTTCTTTCTCTACTGAACTTTGTCAAACATGCTCCTAAAGCTTTGCTTACCCTTTTGCAGTAGCTTCCAAGAAAGAACAGGATAGGATAAGACACAGGCAGATGGCAGTTCAGGTAGTATTTAAGGTGGTTTAAGTAGGGGAAAAAATATTGAGAAACTCTGTTTGATGGAGTCATTATTTCTGTAGATATAATAAATCGGGAAAAACTAACCTTAAATTGTATCACGGCCGTTACAATCTAGAAAACCAATCTGAAACTTCTTCTCTTTTTGTTAGCAGAACTTTTTAAAAACAAAAATGGGAACTGTTTCAAAGGACTTCCAGATTAGGTGCCTGTTTGGCATTTGAGCTGCTTTTCTCAAGTAAAAGATGTGTAACATAACTAGCTTATCTTGGAACAGTGGCCGAATTACTACTTATACAAGGGGGAGGAAAGTAAAGGAAAGTGACCTAACCAAATTGCCTCATTGTGTTTTTTTGGTTGTTTTTGAGAAAGCTTGTGAAGATAGTGGCATATACAGGAACTTTAAAAAACAAAACTAAACAAATAAAAAGACTTCCCACTCTCTAGGAAATCTTACTTTTTTCTGTCATAACTGAAAAATAGGTTAGTGATAAGAACACAGTAATAATCTAAAACTACGTTCATCCTGAAAACATCAGTGCTGGTTTTATGATTACCAAGTAATGCTATATATCAATAATATCAATATATGTAGTTATCTGTAGACTTCAGGGGATAAATAGGGGGTGGGGCAGAGGGGACATGTTGTTTAAGTAGAGGGATGTTTGTAAAACCATCAAAATGGGTACAAAATATATTTTGAAAGCTGAAACGCCAACCCAAATAGAGTTTCAGAAGAGGTATGCCGCTCCGGAGGTCTTGGGCTGCAGGGAGCTTTTGGGACCTCCTACTAAAGCTGGGGCAGTAGGAGGTGGTCTTTTAGCCTGCAGGAGGTGTGCAGTTGCTGAGGATCTGTGGTGCCAAGAAAAGGAGCTGTGGGAGGTCAGCAGCCTGTGAGTATTGGAGATGATGAGGAAGAGATTGACCCGATCCTTCTTCAACAGCTTGCAGTTTCAAGTGCCTGAGACCCCAGGCACTGCCCTGGAGGGGCAGACAGACCCTATGCCTATCAGGTTGGGAAATGGAGACTCCTATGATGGCGATGGCTGGAAGCTGTGGTGGCACAGGTGATGTTCCCCTCAATTCTGTCAGGGAGAGAGGAAGGCCTTGAGAAGGAGTGGACAGATTCTGTAGGTCAACACTTGGTTGTACAGCCAGTGTCAGAAACAGTTCTGGTTTGGTTTCCATGACCATGAGACTGGGGATCAAGGACTGGCCAACCTGATGAGAACTTTAAACTAAACGTGACAAGGGAGGGGAAAAGATGACCAACAATGAAGTGAGTAAGTCGTAGACTGGGTTGCTAAACAAAGGTTTTGGGTTTATGTGAACAGGAAGAACCTTACAATCAACACAACAGGGCTAAAGCCGGGTCACTCCAATATGCACATAAGGAAGAGATTGCCTATGGGACAGTATTGTGGGGGAAAAGTCCTCATACTCTTCCTGGGAAATCAACAAGGTGGTATGCCCCTCTGAAATGCCTGCAAATAAGGCACATACCGTTGGGAAGAAACAGGAGAAACTGGAAGAATGCGTGCAGTTACACGGCTGTGGAATCACAGGCCTGTGATTGGCTTACATGACTGGAGTGCTACAATGGATGGATACAGGACCTTTAGGAAAGATGGACCAGAAAGGTGAGGAAGGAGAGTTGCTCTTTTTATGAGAGAGCAGAGGGAATGCATGGAACTCTGGGACAGACAAACTAGCTGAGAGTTTGAGTAAAGATTAGCAGGCAGACCAAAATGGGCAATGTTGTAGTGGCTGCAGACTGCCAGATCAGAAGGAAGTAGTAGAGGAAACAACTCAAAGAAGCCTCACATTCACAGGCTGTGGTCCTTGTAGGAGACTTTAACCACATTGATATTTGCTGGATAGGTAATGCAGTAGGGCATGAGCAATCCAGGAGATCTCTGGAGCACACTGATGACCACTTCCTAACACAGAGCATTGAGAAGCTCATGATAGAAGACATTCTGCTGGACCTGATTACTACTAGACAAGGAAGAATTGTTTGGGGATGTGAAGGTCAGTGACATCCTTGTTTGCAGTGACCATGAGATGTTGATGCTCAAGTTTCTGAGAGGAAGAAACAGGGCAAGAAATAGGATCACAATCCTGAACTTCAGGAGAGCAGATCTTGGCCTCTTTTTTATGACCTGCTTGGAAGAATCCTATGGGATGCAGCTCTGGGGGGAAGAGGGGCAAGGAGAGCTGGTTGGTTGATTATTCTTTTTGCTTTTCCCTCCTGCCTCATCCCCTTCAACCCTCCTCCCCAAAGGATAATTTTCTTCAAGTCCTTAATGGTCCATCCCATCTCAACAAGCAGAAAATGGAACAAACATGGCAGGAGACCTGCAAGGAGCTCCAGACAAAATTCAGATATAAAAAGGAAGTATACAAGAGGCACAGGCAGAGACAGATGACCTGGGCGGAATATAGAGAAAGCGTCCAAGTATACAGGGATGGAGTTAGAAAAGCCAGATCTCATCTGGAGTTGAAACTGGTGGCATGTGTGAAAGGCAACATGAAAGACTTCTACCAGTACATCAGCGTCAAAAGACAGACCACAAAAAACGTGTGCCTTTCTGCTGAATGGGGCAGGAGACCTGATGACAAAGGACATGGAAAAGGTTGATGTACTCAATGCCTTGTTCACCTTGATCTTCACTGGTATGATTTACCTTTGGGAATCCTAGGTCCCTGAGAACAGTGGGAAGTCCAGAGGAAGGCAGACTTTCCCTGAGTGGTAGAGGATCACATTCTGGAACATGTAAACCTGACATATACAGAAGTCCATGAGACTTGATAGGATGCATCCATTAGTGCTTAGGAATTTGGCTCATGTCATTGCAAGGCCATTCCAGATTGTCTTTGAAAAGTCATGGTGACTGGGAGAGGTTCCTGAGGACTAGAAGAAAACAAATGTAACTTCTGTCTTCAAGAATGGCAAAGATGATCAATAGCACCCTGGACTACATTAGGAAGAGTGTTGCCGGCAGGTTGAAGGAGGTGATCATTCCCCTCTGCTCAGCCCTGGCAAGACCATGTCTCGAGTGCTGTGTCCAGGTCTGAGCAGAGTACAAGAGAGATACAAACATACTAGAGTGAATCTAATGAAGGGCCATTAAGATGTCTGAGGGATGAGCATGTGTCATACAAGGTGAGACAGAGAACTGGGATTGTTTAATTTTGAGAAGACTTTAGGGGGATCTTATCAATGTGTATAAATGTCTGATGGAAAGGAACAAAGAAGATGGAGCCAGAGTCTTCTCAGTGGTATCCATTGACAGGACAAGAGACAGGCACAAACTTGAAATTAAAAAAAAAAAAAAAAAAAAAAAAAAAAACCAAAAAAACCCCAACCTTTTTGATTTCTTTAACTATAAGAAAAAAAAACTTTTACTGTAAGGGGAATCAAACCCTGGAAAAGGCTGCCCAGAGAAATTGTGGAGTCTTCATCCTTTGGCACAGTCAAAACTATTGGAAATAGTCCTGGGCAACCTGCTTAGAGCAGCAGAGTTGAACTAGATGATCTTTAGAGGTCCCTTTGAACCTCAACTATTCTATGGTCACATGATTTTGTGGATATAGGAAGCATTTTTATAATGGCCCAGGAACAAATACTCTGTAAAAATGAAGGATCTGTACAATCCAACATGCATGGAGTTGTACAATGGAATAACCAAATAGCATGTCTATAAATGCAAGTTAAAAATAGACTCTGTTCACTTAGGAAGTAACTGAGACAGCACTTCAGTGAAGTAGTTGGGATAACTTAGTAATTAAGGAATTTATTGAGAGGAAAAGCTTTTTGACTGGTGCCTCAAAAATCAGCTCTTTAGACTTCTCATTCTCTCTGATTTGGAATAAATATGTCATTAGTAGCTGCCTTGAAAATACCAACCACAGGTTACATACAAACACTGGAACGTAAGTACTGTAATTATTTATGTATAAGCTTTTGCGTTGTCTTTCCTGTACAAATTTGAACTGATTGTACTTTTATCAACATACTTAAATTTTGGTTAAAACTTAAGAAATGAAGGGTGCTGTACTCAAGATAGTATTGTAAAATAGCATGGCACACAAGGAAAAACTAAGGTTTATTGGTAGCACTCTTTCTTCTCATGATTCAATCTTATTTTTATGCCTAAAAAAAAAAAATCCTTACTAAATGCTTTCTCAGTCTTCCTACTTATAAACAGTGGCCTAGTTAAGTTGAATAAAGACATGAAGTAACGTGTTTCTCAAGCCAGTAAGAGACAGATGATCTGATCTGTTCTGCTCAAGAAGAGCTGAACACCATGTCCTGTCTGGAAAGATACTGCATTTGTTTCTAAAGGCTAGCCATGGCAGACTTTTTTTTTTTTTTTTCTTCTTACTTTCTGTATCTCTGGACAGTTTGGGCATGTGTGATAGTACATCTTAATGTTGTGTGATAATGCAAATGTAACTGTTCCCCATAGTCTGTTTTAAATGAAAAAGAAGTTAATTATATTATGAAATTGTTTTCATCATCAATCCTTGCAACAATATTTGTAGCAGGTTGTTTCATTAATAGCCTTTATGTTTATGCAGGCTTGGTGAAAGCATTGCGGCAAATAATGCTTACAGACAACAAGAAATGGAGCACGCATCGAAAAGAATCCAAATGCAGTCATCTGTGACCAGCTTTGCTTCAGTGAGGTGTTCTTCATCCTGTCCTTCAAGTGATGAATCCACAACTTCAAATATTCAGGATTTAATACAAAAACTTCATTCTGGACTAGAGGTTAGTTGAATTGGTGCACCGTTGTTAAATATTTGATACTTCTACTGTGGGGAAAAGAAATCAAGATCCAAGTGTCAGGCTATAGTGCATGTATCAATTGAGTTGTTTAGATTCCTACCTATATAGAATGTGCTCCTTTTATTACGCACTTTAGCAGAATTCAAAGGTGGTTCTTTGTGCTACATCAGAAGCTGGTCCTCCTTATTGGGATCCCTTTCTCCAGTGGGGTTGCCCACACTCTTCTAGCTATCAGATGTGGAGGCAGGTGTCAGATATAGTCTCAACTGCCTAGACTGTGCTGTTAAAGGAGCCTCCTCCCCCTTCTTCCTAAGAAATAGTCTGTGATAAAATAGAGATGATATGCAGCTTTGTAAGAGTATGGTGCATCTCCTATATGCCTAAGCAGGCTTACGAACGTTTTCCTTTTCTTGCCTGTAGCGGACTCTTTAGCATTTGCAGTTCAGTTTTTGTGGCCTTCTTGGAAAAGCACTATTATTACATCAGAAAAAAGTTTTTGCTTCCATCTGCAGCAACATACATTGTGAATGAGACACTCAAACAGGCACCACATACACTGTGCTTCTTTGCAGGCCATATTGTCAGGCACTGAATATATTTCCTCTTTTCTGTTCAAAGCAAGTTAGTTGCTTTGTAGCTGCTTCAGAGTGAGTGATGGATTGTTGCTTCTATTTTCTTTTGGCTTACAAGAACAGTATGCAAATTGGGAAAATGAAGAGAATGCCTGATAACGGCTTGATATCTGTATTAGTGGCATTGCCTCCAGCCTTAGCTTTGCAACCCTCCTCTCTTTGTTGTAACTGATAAGAATGAAACTCAGCAAGCTACCAGTTCCAGTCAGCTGCTAGAATAATAGTGAAAAAGGTCAAGTGAGTCTTCTCTGGCTTACTTTGTACTCTGCCACTGAATGCTCCTATTGATCATCCTTTTCAGGACTGCACATGAGTCTGTAGGTACACTGCTGTGTATATATTAATGTAAAGCAGCCACAGGTGCCTAACAGCACTAGTGCAGCAACTTCCACTACTGTGACAACCTGTAAGGCTGCTTCAGTTTTTGAAGGGAGAAAGTTGTTGAACTGTTGAGCGAATCTTTTCTTAGACCTTCTGATTGGTAGATCTTTCCTTTAAAAATCAATATGCACATTCACTTAAAATAATGTTGCATGAAGCTCAAATGTATGTAAAAACATAATAGGGAAAACACTTCTAGTAGTATTACTGTACAGAGAGTGTGAATGGAACTTACAGAAGCTTTTCTTATAGTAGTAATATCTAAAAGGACATAGAGATGACAAGTTCACAGGCAGAAAAATAAACTGGAGGTATGTGGGAGCTACTGTTAATATACAAAAAAATTCTGACATAATGGTAGAGATGGTAGCTTTTCAGTAGGTGTTCATTTTATGAACAGCTGGGAGAGCTTGCACTTGGTCGTGCATCAGCATATATGAACAGCTGCTGAAAACTGCTGTTATAGTAGCACTGCCTAAGAAAAAAATCTCCTGAAATAACCAAGTAACATTGTCACTTGACTCATGTATGTATTTTATTCACAGAATAGTTTAGGTTGGAAGGGACCTGTAAAGGTCATCTAGGCCAACCCCCTTGTAATGAGCAGGGACATCTTCAAACTAGATCAGGTTGCACAGAGCACCATTTAACCTGGCCTTGAATGTTTTCAGGGATGGGGCATCTAACACCTCTCTGGGCAACCTGTTCCAGTGTTTCAGCACCCTCATTGTAAAAACATTTCTTCCTTGTAACTAGTCTGTGTCTACCATCTTTCATTTGACAATAGTTCATTGTCCTATTGCTACAGGCCCTACTAAAAGGTCTGTCTCCATCTTTCTTATAAGCCCCCTTCAAGTATTGAAAGGGCACAATAAAGTCTCCCTGGAGCCTTCTCTTTCCAGGCTGAAAGTTCTCTCAGCCTGTCCTCACATCGGAGGTGCTCCAGCCCTCTGATCATCTTCATGGCCCTCCTCTGGACCCACTCCAACAGGTCCATGTCTTTTCTGTGCTGAGGACTCCAGAGCTGGATGCAGTACTCCAGGTGGGGTCTCAAGAGAGCGAAGCAGAGGAGGAGAATCTCTTCCCTCAACCTGCTGGTCACACTTCTTTTGATGCAGCCCAGGATGTGGTTGGCTTTCTGGGCTGCGAGCACGTGTTGCTGGGTCATGTCCAGCTTTTCATCCACCAGTAACCCCAAGTCCTTCTTGACAGGGCTGCTTTTAATCCCTTCATCCCCCAGCCTGTGTTGATACCAGGGTTTGCCCTGACCCACATGCAGGACCTTGCACTTGGCCTTGTTGAACCTCATGAGGTTCACATGGGCCCACCTCTCAAGCCTGTCAGGGTCACTCTGAATGGCATCTGGTCCCTCAGGTGTGTCAACCACACCACTCAGCTTGGTGTCATCTGCAAATAAACACTTAGGACTTGTTGTGCCATATATGGTAAATTAATTTCCTCTAGTAAGTCAGTGGGTTAACATAGTAAATTCTGTTCTGAATAGTATCCTTTCAGAACAACTTTCCTGGGCCTTTTCTGTTAATCTGTACGTTGAGAAGGCCATGGAGTATGACCAAGAATTTTTAGCCATGTGCATTTCGTGCTCTTAATATTAGGGCAAATTACTTTAGGTGTCCTATGAGGGGATTGCTAATTCTCCAACAAAGATCAGACCAAGGGGAACCACTTTAGAGTGGTGATATTTTCTTTTCATAGTGCTGGAATGATAGTCTTATGCACATGAATCCTGTTCAGACTAAATAGTTCAATTATTCACAAACTTTCTGCAAAAGTCAGGTGTATGCTTTTGAGCAGACAGTCTCAGGTATAAAAGGAAGAACTTAAAAAGTCAGGACAGCTGGACAGGTGGAGCTCACAAAACTACTGAGATCTTTAGGCACATGTTACCTGTCTAAGTAAATACAAATTTACAGTAGCAGTAATTGGAAAACATTCCCACAGATGAAGGAGCCAATCACTGATATGAGGATATCTGACATAATGGATGTCTATGAGCAGAAGCTGTCGGCATTAGCAGTGAGTACAACCTAATGTGTATGGGTACATTGCTGTCTGTACATTCAGAAAATGTTAATGAAAAATGTTCTTCCTATGTACAGTCTAAAGAAACTAGGCTGCAAGACCTTTTGGAAGCAAAAGCACTAGCTCTGGCTCAGGCTGATAGGCTGATGGCTCAGTACCGATGTCAGAGAGCCCAGGCTGAATCTGAGGTAAGAAGCAGGAGCTTCCTTCTGGGACTGGGGTGGGGCTGAGTAATAATTGGCTGGGTAGCTTTAACCATGATTGCATGTGTGGAAACTTTATACTGCTTAACTGTAAGCTGTGCTTGAAATTAGAGCAGTCTTTTTCATCATAAATATCCCATTTTCCTTTGCATTGTTCTTTGGAACAGTTTTCTTTAATATCCTTTCCCCTGTAGGAAGTCAACAAAACTACCCTACTCTACTGATTATCATTTGTTAACCATTAGTGTTAATTTAATGTTATTAATCTTGAAAATGAGTAAAGCCACTTACTAGAATTCTGTATAGAATTTGCTGGTATGTGAAGAACTGTTCCCTGTTTGTGCCTTTTAGTCACTTCTTAAAGATGAGCTTTCACATAAAGCTTGCTTCCATGGGTTAAGTACTTGAGGTATGCATTGAAAGCTCAGAATAGTTTCTATTCTTTAGAGGTTATAATAAAGATTGGGCTGCAGATTACTAAATCCATAGCTAAATGTATAATCGTTTACTTTTTTCTTCTCTCCCCCCCACACTGTCTACAAGAGTAAGGAAAAAGGAATTCAGAGTGAACAAATCAATTTGTACTTACCGTTGGGTGAGATAAGTACATTTCTTAATGTAGTTTATGGCATTTTAGTGTTAGATCCAGGGCCTCAAATATGCATGTTACAAAGTGACTTGTGAAACAGAATTGCTTGTAAATGTGGTGGGTTTTTTTTGGTGGGGGGTGTCTTTCTATTCAAAGGCAAGAACTCTTGCTGCTATGTTGAAGGATGCAGAACGAAAAAATGAAGAACTTAATGATTTGCTGAAAGCTCAGCAGGTAGAATCTGAAAGAGCACAGACTGATATTGAACAGCTCTTTCAACACAACAGGAAATTACAAACAGTTGCTGAAGAACATGAAACACTGAAAAAATCCTCTGTCGATCTTCTTCAGAGGTAAGGCATGTAATATCTCTAAGTAAATACTTCATATTCAAAGAGTGATGAAGCCCTTTACTGCCTTAAGCACATTAGAAGGGCAACATTACATGCTCCTTCATGTTTTCAAGTGAAAAAAAGTTTTTTTTCTTATATATTCCTGTTAACTCATTTGGCAAGTTCATATGTTAAATGGAGTGAGAACTAAAGTTGTAGATGTTGAAGGTTCAGTTCAGGAAATAGCAGGAACTTTGTGTAAAAGGGAGCATTGTTCTCTAAGAAACAGAATTAACAATGCTTAGTTTCTATTAGTATTATACCATACTCTCGGCTTTTTTCTTTGATCTTCTATGCTGTCTTGACGACATGCTATAAATAGTCTGGAGAAGCACCCAGTACAGTGTGTCTGCATAAGGTAGGAGCTTGCATCTTTGATCACTTCTGTAGCAAATTTGACTGAAATTAGGTAAGTAAGGAGGAAGGAGGCACCATATGTGTCCCAAATTATTTATGAACATTATTTCTTTAGGATCCTGAGCTGAAAAAGGACATGTGAGGCACAAAAAGTACATAAGGATTGAAACTATTTACGAAAATAGAATATGCTTTGTAAGAATAAAGGCTTAAAAGAGCTTTGGCTTTTCAACTTCTATGGCTTGGTCTTGTCACTAGGTGTCAGTAAGGCAAAGAAGCTGATAAAGCAGAGAGCAAGTTTCTTGCTTAATAATGGGAGCAGACATTATATTAGACAATTTTGAAGGCATATCTTTGCCTATAAGGGAGTCATGGAGGGAGGAAAAATGTATAAAACTTTTGTCCATTATGAGATTTCTTGAATAAGTATCTAGTATGATCACTGTGGAAGTGCCTATTTTTTGCTTGAATTGTATGCAGCCATAGACTTTGAACACGTATTAAACTAATTTATGTGAAATAAAACAGCCTCAATCTAGTATATAATCGTTGTGAATTCTCCAAAGTAGGAATAAAACAACTTTCCAGTCCTTACAATGTTTATAAAGCAAAAATTTGCTTTCTAAACAATCTGCACACTTGTAAATGTACTGTTCCTTGAAAGCAATCAGATAACTGACATCAGGGAGAGAATTTTCCTTTTGGTAGGAAAGTGGGAAAACATGCTTGGAGCATGAGATCTGCCACATAAACTTGTTTTAATTGCACATTGTATTGTCTTCAGTATGTTTAGTTTAGAGTATCACCAGACAACTGGAGGTCATAGACTGACTCAAAGAGTCCGTTAAAAGATGACTGCAAATAGCTAATTTATAACAGTGTATGTATGTCAAACTTCTAAAGGCATCTGTATGTTTTGCCAGTTCCTAAGAGTTTTCTACTGGAGGAAGGTTGCTTCCTGATCATTAATAATTAAGGATATGTAAGGAAGTCACTGAAGCTTAGTTTGGTTTTGTTTTTTTTTTTTTTCTTCCTCCAAGTATATTAATGTAAAACAAAACACCCAAACAAACAACAAACTACCAGCAAAAAAAATCTTCAAGCAACCTCTGCCTCCGCAAAACACCTTGCTTTTAGCTCAAGTGGGATGATTGCACAGATGATGTCAAGTATTTTTATTTGGCAAACTATTAAAGTAAAAGCTCTTCAAATGTAGTTCTACTCTTCAGCTATAACTCCCTAATTAATTTGTAGGTATGAAACAACTGAAAGACAATATAAAGATCTACAGATTACATGCAATTCACTAAATAAACAAATGGAAGCAATGAAGAAACTAAATGAATCACTTAAGCAGCAGATTGACAGGTAAGTTCAATTCAGTCATAAAGCAAATTAACGATAAACAGTAGAACTAAATAGTACTTTAGTCTCAATTTTTCTATTGTGCTTTAAGTAACATCTGAGGAGTGGAGTTTGAGGAAGCAAAAGATACTTCAGGGTTGCTTTATATGTGTATGTTAGATGAAAATTCATAGTAGTGACTTTGGTGGTTTGTTTGCTCCTCTGTTGGCTGGGGGCAGGGAGGAATACCCACAGACTTCAGCAACAGTAGGAATTAAAAAGGGTAATGAAGACAGCCCCATTCCTGGGTGCATCTGGGGGCATGAGGAGGTGTCTTTTTGGTTGTTGTTGAATTCCTAAATGCTGTTATCACCCAAAGGTTTTCATGTATTCCCTTTTAGCCTTCAAGATTTCCCTGTAATGTTATCAGATCCGGAAAAAAACCCAACCCTGCTAAACTGATACACTTAAAAATTGTGTTAGAAATAGTGATGGTTGGTATTCTGTCTGTGGTATAAAGCTTCGTTCCTCAACCATAAAAAGAGCATTACTTATGTCTTCTTGAGGACTAATTTTTTTTTCCTTTCTGATGGCTTAAAATAGATCTCTGATGTACCTTTCACCAATGTAACTAAGGGAATAGGGCTTCTATTTGAGAAATTTAATTTAATACTTAATTTTGCAGAAGATATCTTTGAAATATGCTCATAGGCAGGCCTTATATTCAGTTTAGAAGTAAAATGCTATTCTTGGTTTTGCTTGCAAAGTTCACTTCATCCTTCTGGGCTCTTGCCTTGTCAGTAATCAGAGCAGTCCAAATCACTGCCTTGAGTTCTGATTCAAATGGAAAAATCTTCATACCGATACATTAGTTTGCTACTGAATAAATTTGGATGCTTACTTTCACTGGTGAAATATGCAGCTCAGTGTAATTGAGGAGATATTCTGATGAAAGCTGCCCCTTTTTAAAGGAGGGTTGGGGAGCAGTTATTATATAGATATTCTTGAACAAATAAAACAGAGACCATGGAAATAGGGTCCTCCCATTTCTTGCTAGAGGCTTCAGCTTAGAAACTGGCAGTTAGCAGGTGGATAAACAAGTAAATAAGAGTGACAGTAGATGCCATCTATGCCAGGCAAGTGGCGGGTAGAATATGCCTTAGAAATTAGGCTAGCTAGTAATGGAAAAAACCAGATTAGCTTCACAGAATGACTGTCTCATGGTGGGGGAAAAGGAAATAAAATCTGTCTGTATTCACACCCTGCAAATTCATAGGTTTGTTGATTTGAAGCTCCTGACAGCAACTGGAAATGGCATAAAAATCATTCTAGCTTCTTAGGACAAAAAAATGGTGACATATCTCACTTTGATCATTAAAATTTATTCCTCTGCAATTTTAGGACTGCTGCACAGTTGGTAGAAACTGAAGATCACAGAAAAGAATTACAGCAACAACTACAGGAGAGAGATGGCAAAATAGCAAGTAAGTCACTTACCTAAAGGTCACTGAACCTAGATAACTAACTGGATTAACTAGATGTTATGTGCTTTAGATAAGCGGGTATATCTTACTACATAGGGATACGTAATTTAACAGTTGAATGGAACAAATACAGATTTTTTTTTTAAAGGATGCATAAATGTGATTTCCCAGACTATACGGACCTCGCTGAATGTCTGCACAGCATCATATGTCTCTTGAGGGTCTTTTTACAGCATGTCCATTAGAACTATATTCTGTAGGAACTGCCAATTACAATAGCTTAATTTAGCCGTTCTGCAAATAACTGGAAGCAACTGCTAAAACATTGCAGTAGATGGCACTACTCAGTAATTCAAATACTAGCAGCCATGTTGAGTATAAAAAATTTTAAAAGAACACCCCAAAAAACCCCTTGTTTCCCAGGCAATGCAGTATGTCTTCTAAGTTTGGTAACTCATTTTTAATGTGTTCATTTTTTTAAGCCTTGCAACAGAAAATAAAAGTTCTGGAAGAAAAACTGAAAGCTCAGCAGAAAGAAAAAACAGATATGGAACAAACTATAGATATTCTTAGAAAAGAATTAAGTAAAACAGAACAAGCAAGGAAGGAACTGAGTATCAAGGTAAGGAATTATTTGCATCTGCTTTCTAGGGACTGGAATTTTAGATATCTGTATAAATGATAGGGTTGGTAAATCAATATTTCAGTGGTAAAGTGGCTAAAGAAACTAGAGCAGTCTATGTAGTAGACAAGAATAAATTCTCTCAGCTTTAATTGTGTAACTTTTGAATTTTGAGTAGCTGAGCTTGAATTTAAGAGAAAAGAAGTCAGGGTCCGGTTCTAATGAGGCTCTATGAGGTATGGTGTGTGATTACATAATGTTTGGGGGGGGGGGGACAAAAACAAAAAAAACCAACCAAAAACAAAACAAAAAACCAACAAACTCAACAACTGTAGAGCAGTATTGAAAAAGAGAATGTAGCACACTCATCTTCAGTAGTTTTGAGTACTGTAAAATGTGGATTGGCTTACTTTCTCCTCTTTCTTGTGTCCTGAATTAAGGTACATATGCTACATATGTATGCACCAAAAATACATCTGGTTGATTTTTTTGATCTTTGAAATTTTAATAGAGTACCTATTTTTATCTCTAAGAAAAACAATGTATTTTTTTCAAAACAGAAACAAGTTTGGCTATATCAAGTTAACCAGGTAATGTTTCAAAACCAAAACAAAATCCCGAGAAATTCAGTGCATCCTATATGTCCTTGCCTGTAAACTCAAGAGGCAGAGATTAATTTTACATATAAACTGGTCGGCGATTGCAAAGTATGCACTCTTGCAAAGCTTTTGTTGTATTTCCATTCCCCAGAAGCAAAGTCTAATCTCTCCAGGCAGTATTATCCAACATATAGCAAGTATTTCCATTGTTCCTGGTAAATATTTACAGGTGTGGTGCTTGAAATGAAACGTGAATGGCTTAACTACGAACACTTCTGCTTAAATAGGACAATGATAACATGGGGGTTGGTGCTTTCCTGTGGTATCTAACGTTCCGAAGCATGGCAGTAGCTGTAATCATTCATGCGCACCAAATGTATAGCTGAGAAAGATATTTCTGAAACAAGGTTGTAATTTTAAAACTGTACTTTTTAAAATTGCTTTTTTAAATTCACCACCAGGCTACTCAACTCTCACTGTATTGTCTATGTTTTTCAGTTGGTAATGGAGGAAATTATAACGTTTTGTTTGTTTCTCCAGGCATCTTCTCTGGAAGTTCAAAAATCTCAGTTAGAAGGACGCTTGGAAGAAAAAGAAGCACTTGTAAAACTACAGAAGGAAGAATTGAACAAACACTCCAATATGATTGCAATGATTCACAGTCTAAGTGGTGGCAAGTTAAGTGCGGAAACAGTGAACCTCACTTTATAGGGCTCTATTGTTAAGGTTTTAGTATTTTATACATATGTATGAATATATGTAAACATTTTTAAACTTGAAGCTAGCGTACATTCTGGCTTAAAAAAAATCTAAAGTAGCTTAACTATCAATTGACAAGAAAAAGTAGTAATTGTGGAAGCTTTGGTCTAAAAAAACTGAGCTGTATAGCAAATAGATCTTCTGGCGGTCTTGGTGGAAGTATTATCCCCTGTATTGGGAGCTGAATGCAACTTTTGGTGACTAACCTTCCAAAATATATACAGGGAACCATAAAATAGAAGTCACTGTCAACTTTAGGTCTGTATATTCCTCTATTGGCTGTCTGGCAAGCAGCGTGCTTCATGGGTTAAGCACTTTTATAGTTTAATCTTGTTAGTTTTGACTCTTTTGAATACCATTGTTATTTGTGTAGTGTTGCTTCCTGATGTCTCAGGTACAAATGTAAAAATAAAATGGATTATATGAATTAGAACATGTTACATTGAAAGCTGCATTTATAAGTGTATTGGTGCAAATGCTTCATGTAGTAAGTATGTGGAGGTGTTTCTAACTATGTGGAGATATAAATTTGAGCAAGTACAACAGCATATCTGAGTGACTTGTCAGCAAATAGCATCAATTAGGGAAAGTATGCTAAAATGAAAAACATAAATGTACAAATATTTCTTAAATACTAGATACTTTACTAATCCTACAACACTTCCTTTCATTCTTTAAAAAATATTGCACTTTTTTGACTGTCCTATCTGCTGCATGCTAGCTATTGTCAGCATTGTTATTTTCTGCTGTACACCAACAGGATTTCATATATTGCTCATAGTATAACTACTTAGGTAACTTTGTTTTTTTAAAAAATGTGCTTTCATATGAAAGACTAGTACTAGAATTTGATGCACATTTTTGAGTACCAGAACACAGTCCTTAGTTTACATGTGACATTAATAGTGTCTTTTACCAGTTGGCAGAATTATTTCATTGGTATCTGTATTTTGATAGAACTACCAGAGTTCTGGGTGATCCAATATATCTCTCTTTCTGTAGCATTACTGTCTTTATTTTTATTTAGTATGTAATGGCTAGATTTTAAAATACTGAGATTCTTTGTTTTTTCAGTTGTGTAATAGATGTCTTACTGAATCTGTTCAACTCGTGTCTAAGTACAGCCTTGTACATTCTGTCGCAATTATACAACATCAGATGAATTGTACCTATTTTAAACTGTTCCTGAAACATATTTTTTTATAATTTAACCATAGGTAAGATTTATAGGCATTGTTCTGATCTCTGTGAAGGTCAGGGAATAAAAAAAAATAATAATTGCTCTATTTTCTGTTTTATATATTCTCTTAAGTGAGGTAAATGGTATAGGGATGACTGCCAGCTTTTGTGCAAAATACATGCAGTTTCGTTGCCTTTTTGTATAAACTGCAGTTATTGCTTAGGAAGGTAAAAAAAAAAAAAGTTGTCAGAATTGCTGAGGTGAGGGGGTTTTGTTAAACGTTTGCAAACTCGATTGGGAAAGAAAACTTCGTAAACTATAATTTTTTACTTCAGTCTAATGGGTTAAGAAATTTGAGCATCAAAGTAAATTTGCAGACGTGGGTTCACTTCTGTTTAAGTCTCTTGGTCATGGGGAAAGGGTAAGTAAATGTTTTTGCTCCCTGTCTGCCAGAAACTGCTCATGTAAAGAAATTCAAGTAGGAAAAGTCAAGCGTGTTACTAATTAAACTGATAAATGCTGGTCTGATTTTGTTTTCAAATGGTAAAATGGAAGGGCAAAAATGTCAAGCTGCTCACCAGAGTAAGGTTATGCAGTTCTAAGCTTCATGTCCCCAGAAAGAAGTAAAGGAATCTTTGGAGTTTATGTGATAGAATCCACAAAATAAGCATGGTGTATAAATATTGATTGGTTTTTGGTTTGGTTCCCCCCCACACACACAAAAAAATGTGCTGCTTCAGTATGGTATTCTAAGCCAATTGTTGCTGAACTCTATTGGGCTGCATAGCAAATAAATGCATGGACGCATCAAGCTACTTTGACAGCATTTCTGCCTTATTTCCTGGCAATGCTTTTCCAATTGGTAACGAATAGTGGCTAATGGAACTAGCAAATAAATTGATGTCTGTTTAAAATTTTGTTCAAAACCTATAGCTCTTCTCACTGCAAAAAACCCTGTAGATTTTTACATTTAATTCATGCAGAGAAATAGCTGTGTTCTGGGGTTTTGCTTTTAGATGTCTTGATATTATCAGTGTTGAAAATAGTTCTGTAATAAGGTTCCCTGTGCAGTTTTTATATTTGTGCTGCATGCTGTATCCAATATGCTATTGGACTTTTTTTTCTTTCCCCACAGGCTCCCTCATTTAGTGCAGAGAGTAGCTGGCACCAGCAGAACGAATAGCTCTTCAATAGAGTCGATTTTTAATTATCTGTGTGTTATGTCAGGTTGTCAGCTGCCTGTTTTATAAGTGCAGAGACTCTTGAGCTGTCTTAGTTCAGAGCAACCTCACATCTCAATATCAGGCACTCTAGTTCTTATCTGAAAGTAGGTGCCTTTTATTCTACATAACCTGGAGAAAGTTTTCCATTCAGCATGTGGTTCTATATAGCTTCAACCATTATTTCAATCCTGCTGTAAGAACAGTAGTTCTTTTTCTGTAGTGTGTGTTTTCTGTGCACTCTAGTTCATTTTTTGTGTACTTTTTGGGGGATAATGAGATGATAAACAGTTTGGCGTTGATGCTTTTCAGTTCATCATCTGTTGTATGTTGTCTGCATCTTGCCACTCCCCTTCTCTTTGGTCTCAGTTCTGGGTTCTTTGATCTTTTTCTACTTCCCTGCTAGTGGTTTATTTTAGGCTTTTACTTTCCCCTACTTCTGCATCTCTCCACCTCTCACCACTGATACCAAGTGACAGTGCCTACCGCTTGCTCTTGCCTGGTGAATTCTGTCTTGTATTAAAATTAGGAAGCTTTTCTTGTGTGCTCTTTGGATCTAGTAGTGGAGTCTTGCCACCTCTGGAATAAAACAGGCTGTGGTACTGAACTCCGACTTTTGAATCAAGTGCAACTGATCATCGTTGCCTGCACAGAAGCAGCTTTTCTTGACCCACTTCCCATACTGTCATTGTCCTCCCCCTATACTTATCCCTGTTATAAACAAGACAGAACTTTTTTTTCTTTTGGTGTGGTCAAAATGTCTATGCTGTGGTATTGGTGCTAGCACGTGCAACTTAGTGTAGGCAAAAAACACTTTCCTCCCAAGCTTGTGAAACTTTGGCTGGAATTTTCTTAACTTCAGGGTGAAGTTAACATCCTGCACAAACAGTAGGACTTCTGAACTTTACAAACTGAAAGCATAGCCTTTCTGTAGGAAGTCATCCTAAATGTAAGTGCTGGTAAGTAAGCCTACTTAAAAAAACCAATATAGAGTTTATATGAACTTTGATAGATTTTTTCAGGAAGTATTTAGTACTGATTAGTAGTAGGATTTATTTAGATATAGTGAAAACAAAATATCAAATTCTGAGTAAAGAAGTCTAAAGGCCACTTCTGCTACAGATTCAGCAGTGCCAAAAGTGTCAACTGCTGCTCAGGATTTATGTCTTGTTTATATTTACAGTTCTCTTGCATGTGCATGTCTAGTTCTCCAGGAATTCTCTAGCAGTGCACTTTTCTGGAATAAGTGAAGGTCAGAAATGGGATAAACTCCACTGAAACTGTGATACCTAGCTTTATAGGTTTGGTTTAAGTGTTCTTGTGAAGATGTAAGGAGATGTTCTCTGCTCCTTTTTCTTAGAGTTTATTGTAAGCAGCCAAAGATCAAGTATTTTTAGGCAAGTACTTATTTCACAAAAAAATGCTTTCAACCTTGCAAAGTTGGTTTATATATAAATAAACTCCTCCATGCATTTCCATCTGGTTACTTTTGATATCTTCAGATTTGTTCACTGTCTGAAACAGGCTTCCTTTCCAATTTCCCTTCTGCAGCATGATGAAATTGGGAACAGCCTGCTAGCTTTCTATCCCCAGTGACACATTCCTATCTCTCTACCAATCTAAATTGGCTGCTCTCCTGGGAATACATAGAAATAAGGGATAACTATTTAGGCTGAATTACGCCACACTGAAAACTGTACAGCTGTTGATGTAAATATCCTGATAGTCCCAGACCATGCATGACAATTAGGGCAAGGTGCTTCCCCACCTCCTGAATGGCAGTCTGGGTTGTTCTGATCACTACTGGAGAAAATTGGCACCTTTGTCAAAGAGGGTGTCCATTTTGCAACGGGTAATATAAGCCTCATTTTTGTGTCCGGCTTCTGTTTAAATATGCTATGCCTGAGGTTGTCATAGTTGCAGTAGGTTAAACTCCTCCTAAGGAACATCCTCGTGTCCCTTCTGACATGTTGCCCTTTGACCTGGGATTAAAAGATGGTCTTGGCTGAAGAGCTGCTGGTCAGCTGGAATATCTTGTCTTACTGTGAATGATCCTTTTAAAGGTGAATTAGTAAGAACAGCCAGCTGTATCCATGCCTATGTTTCACGTTTGGCATTAGTGTCATGTGTATGTGATTAGAAACTCCGTGTCTCCTTGTATGCCTGCATGGCTTTGTCACTGAACTATAAATGCAAGTTTGAGTCTAGAAGGTGGGATTTGGATTGGGTTTGGTTTTTCGGTTGGTTGGGGATTTTTATAGCCATTAGCTTTTGTTTGAAAACATGCTTGGGAATTATGGGAGCCCTTATATGATGTGCTGCTACCGTTGATGTGTTTACAGTCTGTCTTCCTCACCCATTATTGTTGGACTGTGTTGGGTTTTAAGCAAACATATGAGCCACGTAGCTCATATCAATAGATCACTTTTTCACCGAGGATGTCTTTGGAAATGGAAATACAAGTTTATTGCTGTATCTTTAGTAAAACTTTTCTGATGTTTGCCCCACTACCCCATCTTTCCAGGAGGAAGACATAAGAGTGTCACTGCATGCTACATTCTTCCTTCTGACATCTTCACTTCTAAACCGTGGGTTTGTGGAGAAACCACTGAAAAGGGAAAACAATGTAACAAAGCTAGTGGGGCAGCAACTTTCTCCTTTAGCCTTAGGTATTTTCAATGTTG